GGCCATGTCAAAAAGTATCCAAGTTTTCAAGGCCTTTGATACATATTGTCCTATTTTCTTCTAAAGAGGCTATTCCAATAGGCATTCCCATCAGCAATATTTGAGAGCTTCAGGTTCCCCCTTGAGGTATTTTTCTTGCTCATTCTCACCAGTGTGAGAGGTTAAAAATGCTATTTTTGGTTGTTGAAGACTTACCTTCCTGGTAAAGCCCTGCAGCCTTCCCCGTACAGTCCACACTCTTCCTACCAGGGTGTCTTGCGGCCTGACTGATGCGTCCCTGGTATGAGGACGCTTCCCCACACAGCCTGTTCTGTGCCTGCTGCTTTGCTCTGTATGTTTGGCTGCCCATTGCTGTAGAAAATGACAGTCAGAGCTGTGGGAGACCTTAGAGATTGTCCAGTACCCTTCTTTTAAGGGGAGGAATCGGAGGCCAGGGAGGTGTGGGGGCTTGCCCCTGGTCATAGGGGCAGCCCGTTCTGGGTGGAATCAGAACTCTGAATTCAGGTGGGAATTCCAGTCCTTCTGCTGATTTTCTCACCCACCACGGGAGCACTGGTTGGTAGAGTTTAACTCTGGACTTGGCACTGCCTCTGGGTGCTCAGATTCAGGGCATATAGTAGGTGCTAAGAAAATCTTTCCTGAATGAATGTGCAACACCGAGCACAAGAAATAGTACATTTTGTCAAAATGTGCTCATCATTCCAAGAAGAAAGGATGTTTTGTTGGGTGCTCCTCTGGGAGGAAATGCCTTTTTTTTTTTTTTTTTTTTTTTAAAGAAAGAAAGCCAGTAGGCTATTGGAATTGGTGGAGGCGGAAATATGGGGTTGCCTGGGGCTCGGGGCAGTGTTTGTGTTTGGAACTGTAATGTTGCTGGAATTTCCCTCAGGTTCCTTCGAGCCACCAGAGATGGACTTAGACACAGAGTAGGGGTGGCAGATGGGAGAGGAGAACTTCGTGTTCTTTGGGTGTCGTGTGTGTGTCAATCTACACAGGCCTCTTGACTGGTCCCAGGGGACTGTCTCAAGCCCTCTTCTCTATCCCTTTCTTCAGATCACACCCCCTTGCTCTCTCCTTCACTAGAAGGTCCTTCTAGCTTTTAGCTTCAGAACCTTTTCAGTGCTGCTCAGCCCTTCATGACACAGGAGGTGGCTTCGTCCATGGGGAGATTTCATTTCAGATGGCAGTGGGACCTTGGGCAAGTCACCTGTCCTTGCCACGACAACCCCACCATCTCCCTGTTCAGGCCAGACCTGCTTTCAATAGGGCTTTTATTCCATTTGCCTCCTACCACTTGCCCCCTTCCAGTCCTTCCTTCTGCTGATGCAAACACACTATAGCTTATCACATCTGTCCTTCAGGTAACTGCCTCTCCCCGCCTCCCCGTTTCTGGCACTCTGAGAGAGAGAATGCAAAACCCCTAACCAAGGCTGCCAGGCTGGGTGCTCTGGTTCTTGTGGACCTCTCTAGGCTTGCCTCGTGTTTCCCTCCAGCCACATTGGCCTTTAACCAGCTATGTGCCTTGGACAAGCCCCTCACCCTCTCGGAACCTCTGAACCTCATCTGTTAGATAGATAACATGAGAATCCCGATTGTTCTGCTTGTTAAGAGAAGAACAACCATTCTGAAATGACTCTCAACTCCTCGGGGCCCTACTTCTCCAAAAGAAGTCACAGATTCCAAAGGTCTTATTCTCAATAACCCTTTTCTTCTGCAAAAGAACAGCCTGCTTTTATTCTAAGCTCAGTTATTCCCAAAGAATGCTTTTTCTCTCAGTTATGCCTTGTTGTGTCATCACCTCGACCAACCGTGTCTACAGGTGGAGAATGCATTTATTCATGCCAATTCCTGAATAAGGATTGTGTTGTCAGACCCATTGTCAATTGACATGTTTGTGGAATTAGAAGTATCAAGCTTTGTCTCTGTCATTGCTTTCTCTCAGGAAGAATGGCCCATGTGTATGAATGACATGCTCCCTCACATAAAACCCTCCTGTAGCCAGATTTCCACAGAAATAATATTCTTGGAAGCAAGAGTCTGAGCCCAGTGATTAATTTACTGGGAGATGTTCTTGGGGAATCCATTAATCATTTTCTCAACACATTTCATGATAGGTATGTACAACAGGAAAGGCGATGGGTAAATATATTCCACTGGGGGCGCTTAGGGAAAACCCCTCCTCATCCCACTATGGAGTGGGGCAGATGTGTTTTATGACCTAGAATTAGGTTCTCAGATGGCATAGATCATCAAATTCCAGAAAACCAGAAGGATGAGATCTCAGAGAGTGGGTGATCTTGACCAGCCCTCTAATTTTACATATGGGGAGACCGAGATCCAGGGAGAAAGTCAGGATCACTTAATCCTCACCTGAGTAGTTTGTAACTTTAATCTGTAATTTGTGACAGAGACTGTTAATTAATGTTAAAAACAAGACAACAGACATGCAAAATGGAGTTGTTTATGCAAAGCCCCATATCACCCAACCAAGGTTCAGTTCCAGCTCGCCCAGGGATGAAGTTTCAAACCTGTCAATCAGAAACCCCCTGATCAGCACTCGGGACTATCTGCTTAGTAGGCCCCTGCCATTCCCTGTAGGCAATAATCAATTATTGGCAATAATCAGTCACTCTATTGCTGAGCATGACTTGCGTGTTCTGGGGCTTCCTTCTCCCTCTAAAAATCTTTCATTTTTGAAGCTCCTTGGAGCTCCTTTTTATCTAGTAGATGGGATACTGCTCGATTCATGAATTGCTGAATAAAGCCAGTGAGATCTTTAAATTTTATTCATTTGAATTTTAACAATATTATGATGCAACTCCCAAGGGCAAGAGAAAGACAACTTCCGACTCTTCCCAATGTTGTCAGAATTCCCAGGCGTACCCTGAGACGTTCACTCAACTAGAACCCTGGGACCCGGACCGAGTGATGGTCTGTCCTTAGGATGTCCTGGCACAGGGCTGTAATTGTCGACTCAGGAAACGCAGTCCTTGGCTAACTCAATTCTCTCCACATAATTAAAAAAGGGAGAAAGGAAATGTCAGGAGGAAGAATGCATTTAAATTTTAAACAGCCTTGTTCATTTTTGAATCCTCACCTTTTTTTTTTTTCCGGTTTAATTCTTGGCCTCTGTGAATTACTAAAAAATAAAAAATAAATAGCCCTGATTTTAGGATAGAAAAGGAGTTAGGAGTCAGAAGCAGCTGTCTTTAACATTTCATCTTCCTTTGGCATCATGTAGGATTTTAATTTCCAAGCACGCAAAGAGGCAGAAATGGCTTCTGGCCACAGACGAACAGAATCACTTTAAAATGAAGATGGATTTTTTTCTTTCTTTCTTGTCTTTTCTTGAGATCTTTCCCTAAAACTACCTAAAGAATAGGCCTCTGCCAGTGCTGGTTAGAACAGAAGGCATTTCTCATCCCTCCGGAATGGGAATAGGCACAAAAGTATTCCAAAGCAAGCATTTACTTGAATTCACTGCTAAATCCAGTTTATCAAGCTCCTGGGAGGGAAAAATAGACTCTGAAATTGACCTGATATTTGGGAAACGTCAGTTAAATGCTTTTGCAACTTCATCACCCTCTACTGGGGGGGGGGGGCACCGCTATTCAAGCCTCCCATTTGCCCCAGAGTGGAGCTTCTAAACCAAGAAAGGAAGAAACCGAGCGGGTTATTTACGAGCTCCTTCCCTCTTGCAGCTTCAAGCCGCTGTTGGTTAGGCTCTGGGGGGTCGCGGGGCGGGCCCTCGGCGCCTCCCAGTGGCCCCGTGGGGCGGTGCAGACCCGGCCCCGGGCTGCAGAGAAGCGGGCGCCACCAGACCTGGCCGCATCCCGCCGCCGCCGGCCGCGCTCCCCGCTCGCCTCCTGTCCCCATCCAGGGGCCAGTTTAGTTGCGGGCGAGGGATTGCAGCCGAGGCTTCCCCCCCATAGTGTCAGCCTGGGTGCCGCCGGCAGCCACCCCAACCTGGGCTGGGACCGCGCGAGGCTTTGGAGCTGTCGGCGGCGGCGCAGCTTCCCCAGGGAGCCAACTTTGGGCGAGCTCGAGGACCGGGTGCAGGTAGCTGGGTCTCGCGCACCGGCAGGCGGGCTGGCGGGGGCCGGTGGAGCCACTGGACCCCGAGTGCAGGGGGTGAGGCGCCTCGCGCCCCAGGCGCCTGGAGGCACGCCCCGGGCTCCGGGAGCCTGCTCAGGGTCAGGATGCACAGCCCGTGACTGTCGAGGGCCGGGACCGCGTGGGCTTCCAGGGGCCGCTGGGCTGCGGAGGATCCTCACGGGAGGGGTCCCCGGGAGCGGCAGTTGGGAGCCCTGGGGCTAGGTACTGAGAAGGGAGCTCCTCGGGAGGAACCGCGGGATTGGGGTGGCGATGCCCCCGCGACGGGATGGCTGAACGTCCTAGAGATCCGAGGTTGAAGGGGGATGGTGCTGAGCTGGGGTTTCCCAAGCAAGTGGCTGTTTGGGGCAATCGCCGGGGAAGCAACCGGAGTAGGGACAGACGGCTGTTGGGGCGTCTTGCGGAAGACGGACGTGCCAAGGCTCGGAGGGTGGCAGGCGGGTCGCCAGTTTCCTGATTAGGAGGCCCGGTCCCGGAGGGGAGGGTTCCATTGGAACCGTCCCCTCTCCCTCAGTGCAGGTGCGCTAACATCCTAGGGAGCTGTCAGTCTGGTGGATTCCAGGGGCTCGGAGGAGATACCCCCAACGGGGATTTCTGGGGGGGGGCGCGGCTGAACAGCCTGAGCAGCACCCCCGGGGGGCGGCGGCGCCCCTGGTCCCAAAGAACTTGGGGTTCCTGGGGCGGGGACACCTGTGCCGCACGCGCGCGCGTCGGGAGGTCAGCGCTTGGTCTTCTCACGGCCGCGCTCTGGATCCGTTTCAGGCTGGGCCCAGCAAAGCGGCGCCCCCGGAGTCTCAGGGAGCGGACCCGAGGACCCCCCGCCCCCCGCCGCGCCGCCTCCTCCGAAGGGCTTGGGGGCCGGGGGCGCGCGGCAGCCGGCGGGCGCGGCCATGGAGGGCGCGCTGGCCGCCAACTGGAGCGCGGAGGCGGGCAACGGCAGCGAGGCGGCCCCCGCGGCGCAGGGCAACCGCACGGCCGGGCCCCCGCAGCGCAACGAGGCCCTGGCGCGCGTGGAGGTGGCCGTGCTGTGCCTCATCCTCTTCCTGGCGCTGAGCGGCAACGCGTGCGTGCTCCTGGCGCTGCGCACCACGCGCCACAAGCACTCGCGCCTCTTCTTCTTCATGAAGCACCTGAGCATAGCCGACCTGGTGGTGGCGGTGTTCCAGGTGCTGCCGCAGCTGCTGTGGGACATCACCTTCCGCTTCTACGGGCCCGACCTGCTGTGCCGCCTGGTCAAGTACCTGCAGGTGGTGGGCATGTTCGCCTCCACCTACCTGCTGCTGCTCATGTCCCTGGACCGCTGCCTGGCCATCTGCCAGCCGCTGAGGGCGCTGCGCCGCCGCGCGGACCGCCTGGCCGTGCTCGCCACGTGGCTGGGCTGCCTGGTGGCCAGCGCGCCGCAGGTGCACATCTTCTCGCTGCGCGAGGTGGCCGACGGCGTCTTCGACTGCTGGGCCGTCTTCATCCAGCCCTGGGGGCCCAAGGCCTACATCACGTGGATCACGCTCTCGGTCTACATCGTGCCCGTCATCGTGCTCGCCGCCTGCTACGGCCTCATCAGCTTCAAAATCTGGCAGAACCTGCGACTCAAGACGGCGGCGGCGGCGGCGGCGGCGGCTGCAGAGGGGCCGGAGGGCGCGGGGCGCGCGGCCCTGGCTCGGGTCAGCAGCGTCAAGCTCATCTCCAAGGCCAAGATCCGCACCGTGAAGATGACCTTCATTATCGTGCTGGCCTTCATCGTGTGCTGGACGCCGTTCTTCTTCGTGCAGATGTGGAGCGTCTGGGACGCCGATGCGCCCAAGGAAGGTAGCGGGGCGGGGACCTCGGAGGAGGGAGCAGGGAGCGCGGCTGCAGGGGCGGGCGGGGGGGGGGGGGCGGAGGGGGGGTCCTCGTCCTGCCTGCGCTGCACCGACCGGGCTCTGGGGATCGCCGTGCGGCTGGGTGGGGCGTGGGGGGAGTGGGTTTGGGGATCCTGCAGAGCTGGGGGTGAGTCGGGGCTCCATGGGTCCATTGGCCCAGGGACTTGGGGCTTAGCTTCCCTGAGCCTTGACTTCATCTTCTGTAAAATGGCACAATGATGAAAGCATCTCACCAGGCAGTAGGGGAAAGAGAGGAGGAGATGGCGCACGTCCTTAGTTAGCACAGTCCTTGCGCTCCATATGGGGCATAGGGTTCCGGGAACACCGAGGTTCAAGTGACTTTCCCACCTGGTTAGTGAGTGGTGGGAGGAACTTTCCAACCCGGGTACAAGCTCAAGCTCCCACCACTTTACATGTACTCTATGTTGAAGTTCCCTTTTAAGTTCGAGTCAGCGAGAACACTCCGGGCCTGGTTTGGGTGAGGGCAGCAGAAGGTGGGCTGTTTCATCTGTCCAGCTCCTTCCTGGTGGGGAGGACATACTGGGCAGGGCCTCCTGGGGATGTAGGGTCCAGTCCCTGAAGCCCTCGCCTGTTGGAGGTGGTGAGTCTTGTAAGGTAGAGAGGTGAGTGCCACAGGGAGCAGTGGGGAGGGGGGTGTTGGGGGGTGCCCGGGGCCAGAGATCTTGTGTTGCTTGTGCTGGAGGATGGGAAAGGGTGGGTGGAAAAAACGGAGGGAGCCCCTACACAAAATTTTCAATTTGACCTTGGAGGCTGGGTGATTTCTGTAGGGAAGGAATGTGCTCTCCTCATGGGAGGACTGGGGAGGTCTGGGCTGAGGGTGGCCTGTGTGGGGAAGACCAGGGGAAGAGAGAGGGAATGGGATGGTCTGTGGGGAGGGAGCTTGGGGGGAGCAGAGAGTGTCGTGGGTCCCGGGGCTTGTGGCCAGCGCTGGGCTGCCATAAGCTTCAGGCAGCTCAGCCTTCATCACACACAATTCCAGTAGCTCCACACCTTTTTGTTTGGGGGTAAGCACATAGCACTGCACTGGGATGCAGGCAACTCTAATGCTTATAAGGGAAGATCAAGGGGTTTACTTTTACCCTTTTTGCAGAAATGCCCCATTTCTAGATTTAATCACTCCTGTTCCCAAAGGTCTAAAATACAACCATGCCTTGGAAGCTGAAATCTCCCTTCATTCAGCTGGATAACTTTGCTTTGCTCTCTTCCAGAAACCACAGAGTCCTGGCTTTACCCAGCCCTCCCTATTAACCTAGCGTTTTTTCTTAGTGGCCAGGGCAATTATCCTTTCAGTTCAGCACTCACTGATCACCTGGGGTGCAGCGGACTGGGATAGTGTGGGGGGAGGACTGCTGTGCAGACCCAGCAAAGCCAGCCTGGTTCCATGGTGCAGCCTCTGGTCACATCTTGTGGAAAGGGTTCAGGGGTCCAGCGTGGGGAAGGTGCTTGCTCCTGGTCATACAACCAATTGGAGGCAGAATAGAGCTGGGGGTTCCTGCTCCCACCCCAGCTGTTTCCTCCTGTGCCAAGCTTCTGATGAAGAACACAGAGCTAGGGAGTTGGGTTGGGCATAAGTCAGCAGTGGGTATTTCTAATTAAGGCATCAGGCTACACCAATTTTCTGGGTGGAAAATACCAGACCCAGGGCTTGAGGAGTTCAAACACCAGTCCTTGAGGAAATGAGACCGATCCTGAGTAGATACTGGGGAGACATACTGGGGAGCCCTCCCTCCAGCCCTTACTAGTGTGGGACTTTGGGTGAGGGGTCGGTCCCCTTCTCTCCTTTGACCATTAGCATCTTGCTTTTAGAGTGAGGACATTTCAGCGTTCAGTGCATTTTTTCAGCAGATACTCTGATTCTTCTGTCTTTCCCTCCCCTGGCCTCTCCCATTCACTTTTCCCCCTCCTTCTTTCCCCCACCCCCTCTTCATAGGACTTTCTCTTGTCCACCCCCCTCACCTGCTCTCCTTTTCTAGTTTTCCTCCCTAAAGAATGAGAGTATATGGTCAACACATATCATCATCACTGAGTGAGGTATAGATCTTTCCTACACTTTTATTATTTTTTTCTTTCTTTCCTACACCTTAAAAGGCCACCAGACAATCCACGTCTCTGTCTTGAAAACACAGGAAGAGAGAGAGTGAGAGAGCGCCTCCAGCTAGAGTGGGGACCAGAGGCCTTTTAGGTGCACAGGGTCCCCTGAGGATTTCCCCGGTGGGCCTTCAGTACAGCCAGGCTCCTGCTCTCAGGCTCCAGGAGCAGGGAGAGAAACAGATTCTAAGAACCTCAGGTCTTCCATCTGTTCCTCTGCTTCTTTCCCAGCTCAGAGGAAAGGGTGGGTGCCACATGGAAAGCCCAGGTCCCCCTTGTCCTCCTCGGCACTCTGTCCTGAGTGCTCTGAGAAGGGAACAGATGCAGCCAGCAGGGGATTCATGATGCTGCTGCTGCCAGGGGCAGGCGCCCAGTCCCCGTGTGACAGGCCTATCAAGCCCTGAGGATTCGGGCTCTGGTCACCAGCCCAGCCAAGTGATGCCTCGGCCTCAGGGCTGCAGTGAGGGTCTGAGTGGACGTGGGCTCTGGGCCCAATTGGCATGAATTGGGATAATTGCAAGTAGCAGGCTGGACCATAGAAATAATGGTGTTTACGGTCACTTTGGAGATATGACTCCGCCTGGAGGCCATTGGCAAGTGGTAAAGAATAAAATAAATAGACTTGAGCTACTCAAGAGATTGGTCAGCACTGTGGAAGGAATGCACAGCCCTCACTTTCCAGGAGGAAGGGCATTTAGAAGAGATGCAAACTATCCAGATCAGGGCCCCTTGCTCCGCTCATCTCCTGGGGAGTGGAGACTGGAAGTTCAGGACTCACTCTGAGAGCAGCCTGACGTTCTTCAGGGAAGCCTGGTGGTGGAGGGTGGGTATAGATAGAGGTGAAGGGAATGGGGCAAATGTGGGATCTGTTCCTGCCAGTAGCCTCATCATGAAAGCCTCTGAGGGAGTGAGAAGCTCCTTAACCACTGGCTACAGATCATGGGCTACCAGCGCAGCTGGAGAATTCATACTTGCCTTGGCAGCTGGCCTCCAGGCCCTTCGCAGTCCTCAAAGACCCTGCCTCCATTGGGGATTGTGTGCTCTGGCATTCTCTCCAAACCCAGGTGCTCCTCTCACACCTGTCTCCTTCGATGGACTTCTTTCCCTCCTACACCTTAGTTCACACTGAGTGCTGTCTTTACAGGTTTAGAGCTCACCTTGTCTAAAAGTCATAAGAGGTTGGCCACAAAGATTTGGGTACTGTGGCAAGGCAAAGTAGATACAAGGAAACTTGGATGAAGGGAAGAAAAGGATAGGAAAATTATAATATAATAATAGTAATAATAATAATAAAGGCTCTGTGTGTAGAGGTGAGCCACAGAAGGCTTCCTTTTTCTAAGAGCCAAAGCAAAGAAGAAAACTCTCAATTTCAATATTTCCATTGTTTAGAAGCAGAAACAGTGAGAGGAGAGAAAAGGAAGAGGAGCAGCATGGTAATAATTGAGCTCCTCCCCACCCAAAGCAACCACCTGCTGTTGGAGCCCTGCTTTAGAGAGGCTGGGGAGACTGCAGGAGGAAGGGTGAGACCAGACACCCACGGCAGGTTTGGACCAGCCCCCTATGTATCCTTCACAAGCACTTTCTGTTCCATTATCAAAGATTTGGAGCCAACCTTTCCCCTTGAACTAAGTGGGGTTTGCTTTGCTTTGCTGCTGATCCCAAGGACTCTGACCCTGACCCAGGCCCACTTCAGAGGGAGGAGGTGGAAAGGGGGGGTGCATCTATATTTCCAGGGGTTAGCTGATGCTGCTTGGGTATGGTGTGGCTGATTCTGAGTCTCTGTCTCTAGTTTTTGGGAAGTGCCAGGTCCAGTAGGCAGAGATGAGAGAGGAGGGGGGACAAGTTGGCGGATGGGGCAGGTGTGCTGCTTGTACTCTTCATGGCTCCTGTCTATTCACCAGAAGGTGCCTGGAAGCTAGAGGAGAAGTTTTTGAATTAAAAAACAAACAAACAAACAAACAAACAAAACAATCTCACACTTCATAGATGAGCCCTGTGCATCTTTCAGAATAGTCACCTTTTCTCTCAAACCCACTGATTTCCACGGGAGCAAGAAGATGCCCAGAGAACAGGGTGGGGACCTCCACTGCGTAGAGACTGCACAAGGACCAAGGGACCTGTTTGATGGACCAGGACAGCGGGCAGACCCTGTGGAACTGCATCGTTTGTGCAGGGAAAGAACCACATGGTTGGCCTGTGTTTGGAGCTCGCTCTGCCTTTTTCTCCTGTGTGTCCTTGAGCAAGCTGTTAGACCTCTCTGGGCCTCCACTTCCTCCTCTGTATAATCAAGGAAGTGAAGCCTACTTTTGGGGCTGTTATGAGAGTGACATAGTGCACCTTGTGGCACTTGGGGGCCATGTGATCTTCTCCTCCGCTTCCCCCATCCTACCTGTTTCAAGTTTTGTTTGCATTCTTGAGATTGAGTCTGAGAATCTTGGCAGGTATTCCTGAGGGAGGAGATGGGTGTATTTCTCCTGAGAGCCGGGGCGGAGGAGGATAAGGGTGGAAACAGAGCGTGTCCAGGGAGGTTGGTATGTGAAGGAGAAACTTGTTAAGGCTGGACTGTGAGCCTTGTCACAGCAGGGACATCTTCTGTCCTGCTCCCTGGTGTGGTTCCAATGCCTGGCAAAGGGCTGGACACTCATCGGGAGCTCAGCCTGTGGTGGTTGAACAAATATGAGGGATATGGGAGGAGAAAGGTACTGGAGACGGGCCGGGATGGGTGTGTGGTATTGGACTCAAGAGAAATAAGGATCTTCTAAGCAGCGCTCCAACCCTGGGACTGGCTGCCTGGGGAAGAAGTGAGCACCCCCGTCACTTGGAGGCAACCAAATATCT